GGTATATATCCAGCTAGCTATTCCTTATTCTATACCAGTGGTGGCGAACCTATGGCACGCGTGCCAGAGGCGGCACTCAGAGCCCTCTCTGTGGGCATGCACCATTGCCCCAGCCAGGCTCGGACCATCATAGACATATCTTAGGCACTCGCCCCACCCTCCGCTCCCTTGCATCACTAAAAGCCCTGTGCTGCACCTGCTCTGCTTGCCCATTGCCTGTTCCTCAGTGCCTGTGTGCTGTGCTCCTTCCATCGTGAAGCTGCACACTGAGGCCGAGCACATGTGGTGCACACACACACACACGCAGTTGCCACCCGCCGTCTCAGCGAGTTGCCTACTGCTGCTCTGCCGTGCCTCCCACCTGCCCAGCCAATTGTGAACACTTGGAAGGAATTTAAGGTTGGTTTGGCACAACCCCCACCCCCCAGATGAAATGGGCTCCTCTGCTCCAGGCTGCTGGGGCCAGCCTCGCCTCACCTGAGCCACCCCGCCCACCCTTCCCTGGGAAGCAACAAGTTTGGTCTGCACCGCAGGCCTGCAGCCAGCTGAGAGCAAGCCCTTTCCCTGCTGGGCCTCCCTCCAGGCTAGAGGGGGCACCCTGTGAACCTGCGGTGGTGCTGCTTGCAGAGGGGGCTGGAGTGCCAAGGCTGCAATGGCAGGGCTGGGCCTGGGATGATCATCATCCCATGGGAGAGGGAAAATGCAGAAAGTAAAACCTTGCCGCAACCCCCCCCCCCAGTCTTTGCACTCCCTCGTTCGGGACAGGACTGCCGCATTCCGAGTCCACTCATGGCCTTCCAATTTCCGCCCCTCCAACTCTTCTCCAGTTCCGTCTTCTGTCTCCTCGGCTGCGCTAGATGCAGCCTGGCTGGCTGGGAGGGAAATCACAGGGTCCCTGCCACTGCTGGGATCTTCAGTGCCTAGAGGGCGATCCTGGTGCAGGAAGTTGGATGAGAAGAGGCAACTGGCAGCTTTCAGTGGCTGGCAGTCAGAGTGCATCACGGTGTGTGAGGGGAGAGGCTCTGGGCTTTGCAAGGCCAGGAAGAAGCCTGGCTGGGGATTGAGCACTGCAGTGGAAGGGTCCTTCTATTGCCAGTGATGCCTCTGCTAAGCCAGGAGCAAGGTGGAGGCAAGTTCATTTTGTTCCTCTTCCTCACCGCAGCCTCCTCTGCTGCATGGCTTGTTCTCCGAGTATTCTTGCAACTTCCAACACCAGCCTTTTAGAGATTTCAGAGGGGTGGGGAAGACCGGAAAGAACTGTGTGTGCTGATAATATGATGCTATGATTCATACATCATAGGACCCAACCCATTAATAGTTTTCATTTGAATGATCTGTATTTTAGACAGCATTTTAACTTGGGATTGTTATGTCACTTTGGGGACTTGTACCTGGGCTCACAGGTAGCCTAGAAGTCTTTTTTTAAAAAAAGCATTTCTCAGATTCATCCCACTGATATGAATGGGATGGGATGGGATAAATATGAATGGGATAGGATAAAAATTCTATGGAATACATACATACATACATAAATGTGTGACATAGGGCTGAAGCAAGTGACTCAATTTCCCCTGGTGGGGGGGAAGGGTGAAGCAGAGCTGTGAATGAATTGTATATTTGTTTCTGCAAAGAAACGGGATCTAGTTGGAATCTGGTGAAATGGCTTGTGAAGTTTTGTAATAAGGTGGGCAAAACTCACAAAAGTTACATTAAATAGGGCAAAAAGAATCTAAAAAGCAACCACCCCACCACCCCGGGTAACCTGAATTATTGCAGCTGTGTCAAAGTCTGCCTCAGGAACCATGTTGAGAGGAGGTATATAAATCCATACACCAACAGTACTGGGGCCATTGATCTGGTATAGGTCCCTGCCACACATGTGTGAGCATGCGCAGTTCGGCCAGGGGTCTTGGATGCGCCGGCAGAAGGACGCGCCGGCGATCCCACGGCCGCGCTTGAAGCGGCCGTGCTGATAAGTCCACCTCTGTAGGTGGTATATTTTAGATGCGGCTTTTCGGCCTGAAGGGCCGGATCGGGGATGGGTGCACAACGTTTCCCAGATGTTGCAGTGGGATCGCGCCTGTTTGCTGTGCCCCCGATCTGTCCCTCTCCTGGCCCAAAACCTTTCGTGTGACTGGGGCCTATGACAGCTTTTCATTAGGCTCAGGGGGTAACCATGATGGTCTGAAGCAGCAGGACAAAGCTTGAGTCCAGTTCCAAGCACTACCCAGGCAGATCTTGCTTGGCTGCAGAGGTCTGAGGAGATCACAGGTTGGACTGGGTCAGTAATGCACAGTTCACGTGGGCTGAAGTGGACATCTGTGAATTTTAGTAACAGATTTTTACAGTTCTGTAAGATGGAGACAACCCTGTGTTTTCTTACTTCTCCAGATAAAGCCAAATGTTAAGAACTTGATCTTTCCTGCTTACACTGGTTAGATTTAGGAAATCTTGAAATGGAGCTATTGGAATATCAAGAAAGTGCTATCTGGAAAAATAAATTCTATGACCTGCGTGAAACACTTGAGAAGATAGAAGGGATGACACAGGACAGCACAGTTAGTTCTGAAAATGAAATCCTTAGAGTGTGGAATTCTCTGCCAAATAATTTTAAGTCAATGAAAGCACTTGGGATTGCTTTCCTTACTTTGTTTGGATCATCTTATGTTAATGGATGAGTTGTTTCTTCTAAACTAAAACCTCAGTATTCAGGTTAAATGGCTGAGTTGGCACTTTGAGATAAATAAGTGGGTTTTGGGTTGCATTTTGGGCACTCCGTCTCTAAAAGGTTCGCCATCACTGTTCTAGGTCATCTAGTGAGCTTTGTGGTTGAGCAGATGGTAATATGAACCTGGGTCTCCTTAGTCCTAGTTAGTCACTCCAACTACTACACTACACTACACCTGTTGATTGATTGCACTTAAGGCAGTCACCTATGGAAGAAAACTGGTCTTGGTTCCATTTAAATTCTTGAACAGACACACACACACACACAAATGTTTTCTGTTCCCCTGACCCCAAGAACATGTGGAAGAAATTTGATGAAGACATAACACCGTATTAATAATGGGAAATGGCAGATTTGGTGTAGGACTTCATAAGGCACATTTAAGGTGTCAGCAAGAAATGACCTAATAAAGTTCAAATCTGCTTCATGGCCCTCCTCTATAACTTTTCAAAAAGAAATGTTGTGACTTTAAAACAACACAGAGAGCCCTGCACTTTACTGTTTTGGTTGAATTTCCCTCCTTTCTCAATATTTTCTGTTTTTTTTCTTTGCAGGATTCAGAGCATAGCAGAGAATGGGAGCCTAATGTGGATATTCATTTGACCTTATAGTATAGCACAAAAGGATTTTGTTGCTGAAAAGACCCCTCCCCAACCACCCAGGACACTATAGAATATCAGAGAAGACTGTACTTCTTAAAAGTCCCCCCACCAATCACTGTTGGTTTATTAAATAAAATTATAAAAACAATTCCAGTCTACCATCGCCAAAGATCTTTTCCTAGTTAATACACTTTCATGTGTGCACACTGCTAACCATTCTGTCAGCTTTAAGTGCTATGAAGCTTCAGTTGCCCCCAAAACTCAAAGTTCACATTATCTCCATCTGATGCCCAAATGTGATGCCAGAAGACAGTATATGAAAGGACAATTGTGGCATGGGGCATTTTCATTTAAAGGATTTAATATGCATTTATTGCAAATAGTTCTTAACCCCCCCCCCTTGCCTCTTCTGACTCCAGGCTCCTAACAAAGCAGCAATAGCTGCAAGGGCAGAAAAATAACAAAAGTGTCCAGTAACAAAAGGATGGCTATAGCTTGCCAAACAGCAAAGAATCATGTGGCAAAGATTAACACATCTATTGTGGCATAGACATTCATGGAATTCTTGGAATGCCTGAGACAGTATCCACACCAAATTCACCATCAGATGAAAGAAGGTGACAGATCTACTATACCTCAGACATGTCAGGACCTGTGGAGAGGTGGGAGCCAGTGTGGTGTAGGGCTTAGCGTGTCAGACCAAAGTCTGGGATACCCAGGTTTGAATCCCCGCTATGCCAGGAACCTTGGGTCAGTCACACAGCCTCAGCCTAGTCTACCTCAGAGGGTTGTTAGAAGGCTAAAATAGGGGAGAGGAGAATGGCATAAGCTGCTTTGGGTGCCCACATTGGGGAGAAAGGTAGAATATAAATAAAGTAAATAGCCATGGCACTAAGTGGACAACATATGGTAACTCTGGCAAAATAGATCCTAGCCCACAAGGCATTTTTGCCACACTAAATCTGTGCATCTTTAAGATGCCATAGGACTCTTTGCTGGTTTTGCTGCAACAGACTAAACATGGGCATTCCTCTAGGAATGCCAAGTATTTTAATAATATCCCCACATAATATATCATGCCCAAACTAGTTCTCACCCAGGTTGTTAATGCGCCAATCCCCATCTCTAGTTACATAAATAAACCCACGTTACCATGGCTTAAAAATATTTATTTAGTTTATTTTAAAAAAAATTATTGCAACGTCTCCGTCGAATCACACAAGGTGGGAAGAACAGGGGGATAAAGAACGCAACTTAGAACGAAGAATTTATTTTTAGATCTAAAGGGCTAATAATATCACCGCACCCCTCTCCCACACACATACACTTCCTCATTACGCGGATTGACTCTCCAGTGCTCCCCCGTCATCCTTTAAAAGGAAAAGAAAGAGACGTGTGATTCAGAAAGGAATTTCAGCTCTCCGGCTTGCATCTAGTGAGACAGATGTGTAACATGCCCTGCACATCTGGAACGTGGCGTGGCTCTTTGCCTTGCGTACTCCAATCCTCTCCTTAAGGGGTTAAAACAAACCCGAGAACATGCGGATAGAGCCTCACTTTGCATTGGCTCAAAGAGTTTGAACTCCGCTTCTGATTGGCTTTCAGGGTTTTAACGGGAGTTGCGGGTTCCAGTTAAAGGAACATTGCGCGGGCAGCTTATGGTTAGAAATTCGGAGTTCCGATAGTTAGCGGTCCTCTGGCACCTATAGCATTTTGCAGCAGCCTCAGCTCGCTCTGCGACTGTTGTTAGTGTTAAATCTGTATTGAGTCTTATTTCGCTTATTTCTGAATAAGGGAAAAAAAAAGGGTGAAAGGAAGGCTGAGGAATGGATCTGAGTTCAGGAATTCAGAAGGTGAGTCGCGTTTCTTCCCCAACTATTGCTCTGGAGTACCAAAGCGAGCTTCAGTTTCTCTCTCCAGTTACGCATTCAGGTCAGGTTGTTCTTAGGGTTGCCAACAACCCGGGGAAATAAATGTCCTGCCACGTTAATCGAAGCTTAATGTATGGCAATGGACAACTGAAGCTTTTGATGGCAGGTAGTTAAATAGAAACCCGTTAACCCTCAGTTAAGGGAACAGAACATCTTTTCTCCAGGCAGTTGGGAACCCTAGGATATGTTACTTCTTTGATTACTGCGTTGATAATGCCAAGTGTAAGTTACATGTAGGAAGCAAATTATATGGTGTGTACTCACTTGTGCTTTAAACAGAGTCTACTTTCCCCCTGTAACTTCCCAGTGACTGCTTTTATTTTGAGGAATTATTGGGTTTCCCTTCTTCAAGAATCAGGTTCAGTCACTGCCAGGCTGCTTTATGTACCTACAATCTTTTGCCTCCTAGACTTTAGACCTTGTGTTTTGGCCTGGTCCAGCATGCTGCTCCAGTAGTTGGAAAGCAGACGACTCACACACACACACACACACACACACACACACACACACACACACACACACACAAGGAGCCTTGAATCCATTCCTGCAAATCTATTCTTTGTATGTACTACAGTCTGTGAGAAGACAGAAAAGTATTCCTAGGTGCAATAATTCCACCTTAAAACAATTGGGTGCGTCTTTGATGTGTTCAAACAGAAAACTGGAACTCAGTGGATGGAATTTGTGGATGGAAGGGAAACCATGCAATTGCATGGGAAACTGTGCTAATTTTAATGCAGCTTCTATTTGACAGGAAGTTGGTTAGTGCTTACTTACAGACTGTGGTCCTGAGCATGCTAATTTGGAAGTAAATCTTACTGAGATTAGTAGGATTTACTTCCATGTTATCCTGGTTAAAGACATGGTGTAAGGTGTTTTGTGTCCTAGAAGACACTATAGAAGCATGGAATAATTGTGGGTTAGTCCTGTCAGAAGAGTGTAGAGCTAAAAGTTGTGCAGGTGTAGCTTCCAGTCCTGGGAATGAGGGCAAGAATCAAAGGAAAGAACCATGTTCTGTTCAAGGTTGGTCTTTAGTAGAGCTTCTGGGAACTTTTCCTCTGGAACACCCAAGGCTTGTACAAAAAAAAATGTGTACTACTTAAATTGAAATAATCTTGTTTTGCTCCATGAATTTAGGCAATGCCATCTGTCCTTATAGTATGCAAAGAAGTGTGAAGGGAGTTTTCCCCCTGCAGAAAAACAAACTTATAACCATTGTTTACAAGTAAGCTGTAGCTAATCACATATGAACTTAATATTCTGCTCTTGATATTACATCTAAGGTGTAAACTATATGCAACAACTGAGCAAAGAGTGGCAGATTGTTTGCCTATAATGGGAAGGGGGGGGAAGGGAATCTGCTCCTCTGAAATGAAGCCGTTTCAACTGCTGATCTAAGTAGTCTTTTCACTTTCAAAAGACACAGGTCATCTTTGATAAAAATTGACTGAGTTAAATTGCTGTCATTGTATTTCTCCATTTAAACCTAAGGGGGAAATTCTTATAAAAGCCGAGTCTCTAAGGTCCAAGTCCATCACTATTCATTGCACCAAAATGCAGGGCCAGCTTCCTCAAAATGGATTTTCAGTCTCCTTCCTCTCCACCTCCCAAAAATGAATGACATACACTTAGAAGAGAAATACTTTTAGAGCAATCCTCTCTGAAGTATAAAACTTTCTCTTCCTGGTGCACTTTCCTTTGGTGGGCGATCATTATTAAAACGTACACGTTTACTGGCATCACAAAACAATTTTGCTTTTTTCCCATCTCCTTCCAGTTGCGGATATGGAAGGATTGTAAAGACACAAGATCTGCATTCTTAATTGATAAATCAAAATGCAGATGTCCTCTTCTCTTGTACGGCTTATTGTATATATTTTGGAACTGGGAGGATGGAAGCTTTATATATCTGATATTTAGAAGGCTGGTAAACCAGTGTCATGGTTGTGGCAGTAAGGATTCAAGGGATCAGACATGGCTGCCTTCCAAAGAGACTGGTGATGTAATATTTGATATATGGCATGTAATAGAATAGGTGTGCAAGTTCATCTGTATGAACAGAATGGGAAACATCCATAGCCCAGATATTCTGAAAACTAAGTAATCGGAATACTATTCTGGTGGTGTTAAAATAACCTGGCCAGTAGCTCCATGGAATGAGAAATAGGGAGCTGGCCTGCCTGACACACATGACAGGCCTGTGGAATCCTAAAGCCAGGGCTGGCACCAGTTGACCTCAGCAGGCCCATATTGCAAATGCATAGCACAACTGCCATAGCTGTGGCATGAACACCTGCTGCTGGACTCCATCACCCTGGGGCTAGGGATCCCCTGTTCCAGTAAGGGACCTGTCTTGTGTTTTGTTGTTGTTCAGTTGCACAGTCGAGTCCGACTCTTCGCGACCCCATGGACCAGCTCCCGCCAGGCCCTCCTGTCTTCTGCCCACCTCTGAAGTTTGCTCAATTTCATGTCCGTTGCATCTATGACACTGTCTAACCATCTCCTCCTTTGCCGTCCCCATCTTCTTTGACCTTCAATCTTTCCCAGCATCAGGGTCTTCTCCAGTGAGTGCTCCCTTCTCATTGGGTGGCCAAAGTATTTGAGCTTGTGTAGGGTTTAGGTTATTGTAGTAACTGTGTCAAAACTTCCATTCCAAGCTTTCTTTTATCTCCTTTCTGTCTAACTCTAGTGTTCTCAATTGATTTTTGTTGTTGTTGTTCAAGAAAGAAGCAGAGATTTCATTTTTGTGTTTTGTGCTTCAGTGTCAGTGTGGATCTGAATGACTAAAAGTTTTATGGTGGTCTTTTAAATGTTCACTACTATGTAGGAATGCTGTCCTTTGTAGCTTTTGAGAGTGCCAGGCAAAAGCGAGCAGGGGGTCCCAGTCACCTGAGCCTACCTTGTTAGTCACCAAATCCTGATGCTTCTTTTTCCATATTTTTTGGAATTATGGGTGAATTTGAAGAAAATGGCTGGTTGCAAGGTTTGCAGTGAAAGCAGAGTTACACCCTTCTAAGTCCGCTGATATCAATGGACTTAGAGTCATGTAACTCTACACTGTTGGTATATTTCATGTACGCTTGAACGCAATGTTGACATTTTGGCCAAGAATGGGAGTTGGAGGGGGCTAAAATGGCTTGGGATTTCTCAGATATTTCTTGATTCCTTCCTATTAAGAGGTGTCATTGGGCATGCAGTGGAGCTTACTCTGCTGTGCCTTTCCCTGTGCACAGGTGGCACTAGAGAGAATAGACAACTGCTGCTTCCTCATCTATAAATACAGTGTTAGATGTGTGGACCTACACATGACTCATGTAGGGAAGTAATTCATAATAACTTCTTAATTATGGAAACTGAGCTTTGGTGCAGCTCCAGTGAGTGAGTGGCACAATGATTCTTCTGCAGATCCTACTTATGCTGGGGTGTTATTGTTGACCGTTGGAAATTTGCAGCTCTTTAGTTTTAATAAGGCTTCCCTTGATGCTACAGCCTTCTTGCAGTTCAAGTAGCTCCAGATGATTCCATTATTTCCTTTGCTCAGTCACTGAGCCAAACACAGCACACTGTGGTACTTGAAATGGAATTTGCATGTTGTTTATCTCGGAGTTTCCAAGATGGCGCTGGCTGAAAGGACGTGAGGTTATGCAGTCTGAGATAAGAGTTTTTCTTTTCCTTTTTATCAGTGTGCTAATTTATAGTTTTATAGTTAGGCTGCTGGATGGGAGTCCTTAGTTTGTGTCTGAATGCGATTGAATAGGAAGCAGAAGCTACTAGCATTTTAATTGCCATGTCTAGGAAGAGAAATAGAGGTTGTTTACCTGCTGACTCACCCGAGTCCTTTCCTGTTCGTGGCTCTAAACAGCTGAAGATAAAGGATTTTTTTGCTAACAACCTCGAAGCTGAGGGGGACTATCTTATTCCTTGTGACAACAACAGATATGAGGTGCTAGAACATGAGGATAATGCTCATTCTCTCTCATCACCTTTGCAGCTGCAGGCTGATGCTAATTTACAGCCAGCATCAGAGGAGGCAAGTGAAATCCCCCCCACTCAATCTGTGCCTTTTTCGCCTAAAGTCTTGGCTGACGACTCCTTCGAGCATTTATCTAATGCTGACCTTGTGAAGCTAATTGCTACTCATAGTACATTAACAGCCAAAACAATCTCTAAAACATGGGACTACATGAACAAAATACTTCACAAGTTGCAATTAATTGAGGAGCAATTGATAGCTAACAAAATTCAGTTAAGCCCAAGCAAAACTTTAGTGACCTCCACAGGACCTCCACAGGAGGTCTGATCGCGTAACTGCGCAGTAGTTTGCCCCAGGGCAAACAGCCATGCTTCTCCTCTGCAGTTTCCTGCCCGTGTGACCGGGGCCATAGATAGATATAGATAGAGAGAGAGATGGAGAGATAGAGATAGATAGATAGAGAGAGAGAGAGAGAGAGAGAGATGATAGAGATAGACAGACAGACAGATAACAAATTTAAGTAATGGCTATAAAACAGGCAAACTTGCAGTTAGAATCCATGGAAACAACGGGCATCAAAAGCCTATGGTGCAAAAATTCATGTGACAATTTATTTACTTATTTATTTGAACTTTTACCCTGCCCTCCCAGCCAAAGCCAGCTCAGGGCGGCTTACAAAAACAGATAATTACATTAAAAGCATAAGTTACGATTACCCTAAATCACTCCTCAGCGTTATCCTCAGTTCCAAACAACAGGGCTGATTTTGATTGGGACTCACGAGTCCTGTTTGGTATTCACTCTGGCAACACAGCTCAGGCTGATAGGGAAAATAAATCTTTGGCCCAAGAACTGTTAGATGCAGAATTACAAGAGTGGGAGCTTACCCGGCCTAAAGATTGCCAGGGTTCCCAGGAAAAGGAAACTGCTTCTATCTCAGAGAGGTTCG